TTTTTACTGAACAAATTGGTGTTCCTCCACATGAACTTCAGGTTTTTCGCTGGAGAACTCGGTATTTCCCCACAAGAACATTGTGTTTTTTTCTGCAGAAATCCGTGTTTCTCTAGAGGAACTTCCGATTTTTTGCTGGGGAAAGGGGTGTTTCTCCACAAGAAGTTCTTTCCAGAAGAAAACCTGACGTTCTTGTGGACGAACACCGATTTCTTCCGGAAAGCAGATGAAGTTCTTGTGGAGAAAGATCGATTTCTTCTGGAAAGAACATGAAGTTCTTCTGGAGAAACACCGAGTTCTTCAGGAAAAATATGTGGTTCTTGTGAAGAAACAGCGATTTCACCAGGAAGAAACCTGAAGTTCGGTGTTTTGCTACATGAAGCAGGTGTCTCCACAGGAACTTCCGGTTCTTTCCAGACGAGATCAGTGTTTCGTCACAACAACGTCATCTTCTTCGCCGGTGAAGTCGGTGTTTCTCCACAAGAACTTCATGCTCTTTCCAGAAGAAAACCTGACATTCTTATGGAGAAACACCGATTTCTCCGGGAAAGAACATGAAGTTCTTGTGGGGAAACACCGAGTTCTCCAGCAAAAAACCTGAAATTCCTATGGAGAACTGCAGAGTTCTTCTGGAAAGAAGTTGAAGATGAACATCATGTTTTGTCCTTCAGATGTCGGTGTTTCTCCACAAGAACTTCACGTTTCTTCCGTGTGCATTCGATGTTTGTGCACAAGAACTTCAGTTTTTATCCGGAACAAATCGGTGCTTCCCAACATAAACGTCATGTTTTTTACGGAACAAATCGGTGTTCCTCCACATGAACTTCATGTTCTTTCCAGAAGAAATCGGCGTTTGTCCACAAGAACTTCATGTTTTATCCTGGAGAAAGCGGTGCTCTCGACAATAACGTATAATGAAGCGTTTCCCAGCTCTACATGGCCTTTCTTTGCAAAGTTATAGAATCTGCAAGAAAGTCCTAGATTGTTCATTGTCAGCTCAAAGCAACAGAATTAAGAAGACATTAATTTATTGCTCTTCGTGTATAGTCTATAGCTTTGAAAAGAAAGGCCATAAGGAGCTGGGAGAGGTTTCAGTTTAATCAGAAATGTGCGAGCTACATATGAGAAGAGCTTCTGTTATTTTTCAGTTTCTGAAAAAGTAGTTTTCTAGAAATCCGGTCTCTGGAGGATTAAGACCCCAAACGGATGTCATATTTCGATTCAGCATAGTGGATTACCTATTGTCCACTGATTATGGGAAAAAAAGCTATTGCACACTTACGGACCTTTCCTCGTTCGACCTTCGAAACACGAACCTGCCTCGTGTCATAAATTTATTAAAAATGCAGTCAAACGGTTTCTTATAGAGGAACTGTTCTTTTAGACTAATTATTTTCCCGTTTACGCACTATTTTAAAACTTTACACTATATATCAATCGAAAAAGTGCAAAAGATTGAATAAAATGTCATACTTTTTGGAATTAAAATTGAAGCCACTAGTTTCGAAAAAACATGAAATTTTTGAGTTAAAAAATAATCTTTCTTTTAGTAAAACGATTCGTTGAATATGCTTCGTTAAGAAATTAATAAAACTGTCTTGCAGAGAATTTTCAATTCCCTCCCAAACACGATGGCATATCAAAAAATTACATCGAAAGAATACAACTACAATGAGTACGCTAGTAAAACCTATTGATATGATCATTTTTAAAATAATAACGTCCTCTTCCTGAATAATTAGTTGTATTTGATACTTCATTTTATTTGCTCAACATAATTCTGTACTTTGAATTACTGAAACATACCCTGTACACATCACATAGTATAGCGCATATAAAATGGTGCATATGTTAATATTTTGAGCTAATTTAGACCGAATTATAGCTTTTTCGATTTTTCAAAACATATGTAATAATCTACTGTGAGCTTTTTGTTTTTAACTAAATAAACGTAATTAAACAAGCTGATCCAGACATGAATGAATCTACCAAAGTACAATATCTAATGAATGGATTACGACCATCACTATCAATTGAAACAAGAAGGAATTATCCAACAACAACACAAGAATTTTTACAACAGGCTCAGAAGGCAGAAGAATTAACGGCAATCAGTACCACAACGACGTCAGATTTAGTTACCACAGACGATTTATCAACAGCTTCTTCTCTTCTACATCATGAACCAAAGCATTGGTCATCACGCAGTCGACCAAATAGAAACAATGGATCGTTTTCAGCACAACAATACCAGTGGCAAAAATCTTGGAAATTTTTCAACGCGAAAATTCGAAGAACATCAAAGTAGTTGGATACAATAGAAATATTTTAAGTTTAAGTTATGTTATTATCGTATGTATATAGATTATATAAAATTAAAAACGGGAAGAATATCCCTATGTTAAAGTTTTCTGTTCAAATTTGTTTTTGTTTATGTAATTTTAATTAATTTAATTAATGTTTGTATCCACTGATGAAGATTGAACTCTCAATCGAAACGTTT